ATCCATCCATCCATCCATCCATCCATCCATCCATCCATCCATCCATATTATTTTTTGATGAATCTTCAGATTTGGAGGAGAATCTAAATGGCCTAAAGCACAAACTAGGTAAGTATTATTATTATTATTATTATTATTATTATTACTATTACTATTACTATTATTTTACAAAACCAAAAATAAAACTGACTTGTTTAGTGGTTCCTCAGGAGAGGTTCCATACAAAACCAAGACATTTATAAGTTTAATTTTAGATTATTAGGTAATTTAAGTTATTAATGTTTCTTGTTAATAAACACTGGCAGCTTTAAAATGAAATTTCGGTGTACAGTACTTTGTACTGCTGAATATCATTTTCTTGTACACTGCTTGCATATATTATTTAAAACAATATTATAAAATTTTGGATCATATGATAATGAATTCATATGTTTTGTGTGTTTTCATGTATTTTCAATTTAAATTTATGGTCTATAGCATTAGACCTCTGAACTGTTACTGGAATCTTTCTCTCCATATGGAGAATATCTGTTTATATGACAACATTTAAAATATAAAAGATTTAACATTTAAATATAAAGCATTTGAAATATGTCTTTGAACATAGAAATAGTTGAGTGGGCAATTTTAGATCAGAATTTAGGTAGTATCACTGCCTGTTCTGAAACACAACTACGGAGAAGAGCTGCGCTCGCGCACACACACACACACACACACACACACACACAAACAAAAGGGAAACACAATGTAGAAACTAAAATAAATAGATATAAAATGCTGTTACTGTGTCCAAACCAGTCTGGTAATGAAACCGTGAAGCCATTAGAGGATTAGTGACACAACAGTAAAAACTGAGCTGGCAATATAGTTTAACTGCTGTCAGGAAAATATAGGCAGATACGGAAAAGAGACAACAAGAGGCACAGGTTCTTCTAAGTGGAAACTTCACTATATCTGATCCCTGTGGCAACTATAAGTCTTAATTTCATATTACACAAATAGCTTTTAAATCTGTGAAACTTTGTTGTATAGCAGCCTTCCCCAACCTGATGCTGTTGAAATAAAGGGTGAGGGTTATCAGTTGAAAATTCTTGAAGTCCTAACCCATCAACACACCTACTTGAACAAGGTTGTTATGTAGCGTGGGAGTGATGCGTGAATGAAAAATAGACTGAAGATCCCCTTTGGATGCATGGAACTACTTTATGATTTGTTGGATCTTTTTCTTGGTGAAGTTTTATTTTGTTTTGCTACTCTGAATAGAGGAGAAATAATAAATCTGCTTAGAAAAAAATTATAAAGTCCAGTTATATAGACATTCACTTGGTAAGAAACTTGATGCAGACTTTAAGTTTATAGGAGCAGAGTTTTAGACTTTGCTGCTATTCAGAGGCATTGTAGAAGGAGAACTGTATAAGTGGATGGTAGCCAAAATCAGGAGTGTGGTAGCATCTTTTCAGACTAACATTTTATTAAAAGGCATAAGCTTTCATGAGCTACGGCTTATTTCATTAGATGCATGAAATGATTAAATTGATGTAGGATTTAAATAAGGAATGAAGGGGAGGAGGGTAGTTATACAAATGCAGGATGCATGTGAGACAAATTACAAGTATTTTATTAATTAACAATTGTAATGTGTTAAAAAAGACAACTCTGCTTGTTGAGACCTTCTGAAATAGCCCTTTATGTATATGAGTTCTGCAATCTCTCCCTCAGTTGAGCTGGTAAAGTTGCTTTTTTCCAAAATGGCTGTTTTGAGACTTGTAATAGAGTGTCCTGGGGGGTTAAAATGCTCTGATATTACTTTGTCCTTGTTGTGACAAAGCAAGAGTAATTAACTGATATAAGTATCAATTAATTTGTTTGCACAGTATTTGTACTGTTGGTCCTATGTAGAATCCAGAAAGGTATTGCTGTCAGATGATGGCATATATCACAGGACTTCTGGGGGAGTAATAGCGGATTGAAGACAGCTCTATTTTTGCTTAGCCGACGACTGTGGTGGTTAAGAGGAGCTGGCGAAAAGTCTGGCTCTTCAGAACCATCTCTGGACAAAGATGATGACCAGATCACCCACAAGTACTTCTTACAGGGGCTCCCTGTGAAGAGATTGCAATTTAGCAATCTCCAGCGGGTTGAGCATTCTAGGAGTTGCAGGAAAGGAGCCTCTAAAAAGACACTAGATTTTCTTTCACTTCCTCTTTTAATTAACAATGGAAATTACTTATTAGCAATTTACTTGGAAATTACAAACCTTCTGAAAGGCAGGTTGCTGTACACCAGGAGGATTTCCTTCTATCCTGGGAAAAAGAATATTTAAGTAAATTTAAAGATTAAAAAGAAACATTTTAACTTTTGGGAAACAGTGAAAGGGAGTTAAGAATGTTGGCTGTGGACAGTTAAGGGGCCAGATGGATTTGAAAGAATAGATTTTTTATAGACTGTTTTAAACTTTATAAAAATCCAGCAGATGATTTTGGAATTAACTGTAAGAAAACCTATTGTAAGAAAGTTTTGACTCTGCAGATAAACAAAAAATAAGACTGGGCTTTGAAGATTAACTAGAGGGAACCAGAGAGCAATTAAAGGAAAAGATACTTCCTAACATAATGGAGGACCATTGTTTTACTATAGAAGAATTTAAATCTGTTTGGGAACAATGTGTTCAGGACTTTTTTTTAAAATTGGATCTAACAGAGATTATAGAAGAAGAAAAGATTCTACTGGATAAAACAGAAGCTGAGGATGATTTGAATAGGGAT